CTGCTCTTCATTTTGTATGGAGGTGAAACGAGGCATTTCACCATTTACCATTGGGAATTAAGATGCAACATATTTTTAAGGTCATTTCCTTTGTTATAGGGATTCTCAGTAGGAAGATGAAACAAAAAATGTTTTCCTTTACATGTACTGTTTAATATACCATGCTGTCTATTCGCTTACATATGGCATGAATGTTGATAAATACAGATGTACACATATGTGCATATGTATAGTGTCCTAAACTGTTTTGTATTTCACATGCACCATTTTCTCTGTTAATGTGCTCCATACACAATGTCCATGGTCAGGGCATAGCATGCCTTGAATAGTATCATCTGCCAACTAAAACAGGTCGATCAGTCGTACTCATACATTCCAGCCTCCTGACTAGTTGCAACTAATGCTATTTTTAACCTGCCAGGGGATATTTCTCTCTTATCTATCACCTTCCAAAAATACATACCTTCAGAACTGAAAGAGAAATATTTCTCTTTTGGACCTGTATGTATTTTTCTAGAGCTAAAATTTGTCTGGCTTTAAAATCCCAACTAATGTAAATTTGTACTGGACTAAAAAGAAGTTTTATTTCTTTGAAAAGAGGGAAGTACCTAGCTTTCAAAAGAGACAGGGCTTAGATCTCGCTGTGAGAAGGCTCTACATATGGGATTTCTAAATCATGACATATGTAAATATGTTTTATTTACATAAATTATTTTATACTTAAAGGCTGTGCTGCTTCTACTTGGGGTGAACTGCATATTACAGAGCTCCACAAGCTTATCCTTTCTACTGTCTGAGCCTGTATTGCATCAGTGGCCCCTGTCCATGAACTGTGTGTGCATGACTGGCTCTATGTGTTTTTGTCCCGTCCCTGATGTGCCTTGTGACCTGACCTTTTGCTCTGGACACTGCCCTCCCCGCACACCCTTTTCTCTCTCTCTCATGGCAGGAGGCAGTGTGCAGGTGGGACTCGGTGGGTGCAGCTTGTTCCAGCTTTCCCACGATCTCACCTATCCACTGTAACCATAGGCCAACTTGCTTACCCCCTCCTACCTTGGACGTGTAGATTAAGAGTGGTCCTTTTGCTCAGCTGGTTTACCCTGGTTTTCCAGGTTTCCGACCAAAAGGAGGAAGGGACTTGTCTGCAGTCATCCCCGCTGGCTCAGCTTGTAGGGATGTGATTGGGTTTGGGTATGGGCATATTGTTGAAATCTCTGTCAAATGAGAGAGGCTGCGTTAGGCAGAGCTGATGCTGCCTTTGTGCCAGCTGTGGGAAGCAAACAACAGCCAATGCAGGGGAAGTGCCAGCTGGCCCCCACAGATACTACGTATGAACACAGTATTTTAAATCTGCTTCTGGGATCTCGTGCCACTAAACTCTGGCCTAAAATATCTTTGATTTCTTAAGCAAGGGGTCCAGTCTAGTTCAGCTAAGCCTCCTTAAGCAAGCATGGTGTTTTATAAACAATATATCTTGAGGAACAGTAATTACCCATATATCTTAATGACATGGCAGGCATTGGAGCATCTCCAGCAGCTTACACAGACTAAATATGACGAATAAACGTTGCAAGTGATGAAGCCAGAGAGCAGCATGCCTGAGCTGAGGGATGCTCTGTGCTCCGTTAGGAAGAGAGACTGGGCAGGGTTCCCAGGCTCCAGCTCAGTGCAACATTTCAGTATACACCTGCCTTTAATTCTGAATTGTTTTTCCTGCCAAAGCAAAAGTGACAGCTCATCGGTTTATATCTCCTTGTGTGTGGATAAGCGTTCCTACTTCCACAGAATGATGTGGGTAATTCTGGATCATCTGTGTCTCGGATGGTCCTATACTGAAGGTAGGCATTAGTAAGCCAAAGCTCTGAGACCAGTGGTGTAGAGTTATCTGCCTGTCGTGGTTTGAGCCCAGCACAACAACAAAGAAACAGCCCCGAGCCCACTCGCTCAGCTGCCCCCACACACACACTCTGGGTTGAGAACAATAAAGCTCAAGGGTTGAGACAAAGGACGAGGGGGTTCTTCCTCAATTAAGGTCCCTGGGCAAAACAGACTCAACTTGGAGAAAAAAAAAATAAATTAATTAATTTCACACTGATCAAACACCCACAGGGCACAGACATACCCAGAGCAGGGCTTGCATATGTTACCCCACCCCTCCCTTCTTCC